AAAAAAAATGTGTCGAGGGTGGTTTTGGGTAACTGTCGTCATCCAACTGTCACTCCCGCCCTCCCTCCCTGAAAGGGCCGGCGGGAAATCAGTTCGCGCACTTTTCTGGTCAGTGACAGCGCGGATGCCACAGCACTGCGAGCATGGAGCCCGCTGCGACCATCGCTGCAGTTATGGCTGTTGTCAACACCTCGCACCTTATCATCCACCTCTCCCAGAGGCAGATGCTGAGAAATCGGGCGAGGAGGCTACGGCAGCGCGGTGAGGACCTGAAGTCTGAGAGTGGCACAGACCTGTCACAAAGCACGGGACCCCGCGCCGAGGACATCATGGTGGCAATGGGTCATGTTGATGTTGTGGAACGGCGATTCTGGGCCCGGGAAACAAGCACGGACTGGTGGGACCGCATAGTGCTGCAGGTCTGGGATGAATCACAGTGACTGCGAAACTTTCGCATGCGGAAGGGGACTTTCATGGAACTTTGTGAGTTGCTGTCCCCTGCCCTGAAGCGCAAGGACACCCGGATGCGAGCAGCCCTGACTGTCCAGAAGCGAGTGGCCATAGCCCTCTGGAAGCTTGCAATGCCGGACAGCTGCCGGTCAGTCGCGAACCACTTTGGCGTGGGCAAATCTACTGTGGGGGTTGTTGTCATGCAAGTAGCCAACGCAATCATTGAGCTACTGCTCTCAAAGGTAGTGACCCTGGGAAACGCGCAGGTCATCATAGATGGCTTCGCCGCGATGGGATTCCCAAACTGCGGTTGGGTTATAGATGGAACTCACATCCCTATCCTGGGACCGGACCACCAGGCCGGCCAGTACATTAACCGAAAGGGCTACTTTTCAATGGTGCTGCAAGCACTGGTGGACCATAGGGGACGTTTTACAAACATCAACGTCGGATGGCCGGGCAAGGTTAATGACGCTCGTGTTTTCAGGAACTCTGGTCTGTTTAGACGGCTGCAGGAAGGTATTTACTTCCCGGACCACAAAATAACTCTTGGGGATGTGGAGATGCCTATAGTCATCCTCGGGGACCCAGCCTACCCGCTAATGCCCTGGCTCATGAAGCCCTATACTGGCGCCCTGGACACTGAAAAAGAACTCTTCAACTACCGTCTGAGCAAGTGCAGAATGGTGGTGGAGTGTGCTTTTGGACGTCTCAAGGGGAGATGGAGAAGCTTACTGACTCGCTGTGATCTCAGTGAAACCAATATCCCCATTGTTATTGCAGCTTGCTGTGTGCTCCACAATCTCTGTGAGAGCAAGGGGGAGACCTTTATGGCGGGGTGGGAGGTTGAGGCAAATAGCCTGGCTGCTGATTACGCCCAGCCAGACAGCCGGGCAATTAGAAGAGCCCAGAGGGATGTGCTGTGCATCCGGGAGGCTTTGAAAGCTAGGTTCCTGAGTGAGCAGGGTAACCTGTGACTATTAAGTTTGTTTACAGAGAAGCTGAACCTGCCCCCGTTTCTTTACCCGGTAAATGTTCACTATCCTCTCCAGTTACATACCCCGTTCAGCCCGTTCACCCCCTTCCAACACACGTTTAAAAATAAAATCACTTGAATTTTGTTAATGAACACCGTTTTCTTTATTACCGTTTTCGCGGGAAAGTGTTGAACCTGGGACGCAGACTGTGGTGGGGAGCGGGTGTAGTGTAGTGATGCAAAGGACGCTTCTAAACTCCAGGAATGACAGGCTCCGCACTGGTGGACTGGTTGTTTCAACGGAGCCTGCCACCCCTCCTGTTCGGGACTCCGTGTGTGGGGGCTATGTGACTTTGTGGCAGGGGGAGGATGGTTACAGATCCCCTGCTGTGTGGCTCTGTGATCCAGGATAAGGACTGCTGCATAAGATCTCTAACCGCCCTCCCCCGCCACAAAGTCACATAGCCCCCCCACACACAGAACATGAAAACCACCTCCCAGACTGACCAGGGTCACTAGTGACTGCACTGTGTATGTGCCCTGCTGCTGAACCTGCCCCCGCCTCTGTACCCTGGTAAAGTTGACTGTCCTGTCCAATTACCAACCCCCTTCCCCCCCTTCAGACAGACTCTCCTCTAAAAGAACATGATGAAAACAGTAATTAACAGAAACGTATTTTTTATTAGCAACTACACATGAAACTGGGGGATGAAACTTGGACGGGGGCTTGGGTGAGGCGGGAAGGAAAGGACTTATCAAATTTTGGGGAATGAGAGCCTTCTGGTACTTGAGCAGTCTGCAGGGGTGGAGTGAGAGTTTTCACGGACTCTGCCGCCCCTCCTTCTTGGGACTTTGGGTGAGGGGGGTATGGGACTTTGTGGCGGGGGAGGGCGGTTAGAGATAGACTGCAGCGGGGCTCTGTCCTCCTGCCTCCGGTCCTGCAGAACATCCACAAGGCGCCGGAGCGTGTCCGTTTGCTCCCTCATTAGTCCAAGCAGCGTTTGAGTCGCCTGCTGGTCATCCTGCTGCCACCTCTCCTCCCGTTCCATGTGTGATCGGTGCATTTGGGACAAGTTCTCCCTCCACTGGGTCTGCTGGGCTGCCTGGGCTCGGGAGCAGCCCATAAGTTCCGAGAACATGTCCTCCCGTGTCCTCTTCTTCCTATGCCTAATCTGCGCTAGCCTCTGGGAGTGTGATGCCAGGGTAGGTCGGGAGACAGTCGCAGCTGTGGGATGGGAAAAAGGGAGTGAATTCCTCGGAAAGATAAATTTTGTTGTGAACAAAGAACATAGTCTTTCTCTGTGAACAAGACCATGCACAGCACCTATCACATGCGCACTCAGGACAAGGTCGAATTTTTGGCCTTCGCATTCAGTGCCTGGGGTCTTGCAGTGCAGATCAGAGAAGCGGGGCAGGACACCGGAATTTGTGTAGCAGGCCGACATGGTAAGCCGTAGACTTGTGGCTGCTTAAAACTTTAATAATAGCACTGGCCTCCTTTCACGTTCAAAGCAATGCCAGTCCCTGCTGCCAGCAATCCGGCAAGCATGAACTCTGCCCCTGTCCCACCCCCTCGCGGCTGTCCCAGGGAAAGATCCCTGTATGCTGCCCCTCTCCCGCCTCCACCGCGTGGCTGTAAACCGCTGGTTACAGTTCTGTAAAGGAACAGGCAAGCAGTCCCAATACTAACATTCCCCTACCTAATTTAAAGCAGGTCACCATGAGCGACATCACTCTGATGAGGATTTCAGAGACGGAGAAAGAAAGGATGCTTCGGGAAAGCCTGCAAAGACCAGGGCCGTATGCTGCCATGCTCTGCAAGGCAATGATACCCGAGTACTTGCTTGTCTCCTGGCGCGGAAACGATTCGTACTACGGAGGACCCAATAAGGCCGCTCTCCCAAGGAACCTCATGCAAAGGCTTTCCAATTACCTCCAGGAGAGCTTCGTGGAGATGTCCCTGGAGGATTTCAGCTCTATCCCCGGACATATAGACCGGATTTTACTGTAGCTGCACTGGCAGGGACTAAACAGTAGAGCGGCTAGGGCAGAACAATCATGCTAAACCGGACATTGTTAGATTTTTTTTCAGTAGTTGCACTGCCAAGGACTGAAACGTTAAGCGCCTAGGGCAAACTAATCATGAAAAACCCATTGTTAATATTCCTGTTCTGTTAAAAATAAATGTTTACATGTTTAAAACACTTACTGACTGATCCTTCCCCTGATTCTGTGTCCGGGTTAACGCCTGGGGACGGTTGGTAGGGGATCTCTGTAAGGGTGATGAAGAGATCCTGGCTGTCGGGGAAATCAGCGTTGTAAGCGCTGTTGACTGCCTCGTCCTCCTCATCTCCTTCCTCATCTTCCCCGTCCGCTAACATGTCAGAGGAAGCGGCCGTCGACAATATCCCATCCTCAGAGTCCACGGTCAGTGGTGGGGTAGTGGTGGCGGCCGCACCTAGGATGGAATGCAGTGCCTCGTAGAAACGGGATGTCTGGGGCTGGGATCCGGAGCATCCGTTTGCCTCTTTGGTCTTCTGGTAGCCTTGTCTCAGCTCCTTGATTTTCACGCAGCACTGCGTTGCATCCCGGCTGTATCCTCTCTCTGCCATGGCTTTAGAGATCTTCTCGTAGATCTTTGCATTCCGTCTTTTCGATCGCAGCTCGGAAAGCACGGACTCATCGCCCCACACAGCGATCAGATCCAAGACTTCCCGATCAGTCCATGCTGGGGCCCTCTTTCTATTCTGAGATTGCATGGCCATCTCTGCTGGAGAGCTCTGCATCATTGCCAGTGCTGCTGAGCTCGCCACGATGTCCAAACAGGAAATGAGATTCAAACTGCCCAGACAGGAAAAGGAATTCAAATTTTCCCAGGGGCTTTTCCTGTGTGGCTGGTCAGAGCATCCGAGCTCGGACTGCTGTCCAGAGCGTCAACAGAGTGGTGCACTGTGGCATAGCTCCCGGAGCTATTACCGTCGATTTCCATCCACACCTAGCCTAATTCGACATGGCCATGTCGAATTTAGCGCTACTCCCCTCGTTGGGGAGGAGTACAGAAGTCGAATTTAAGAGACCTCTATGTCGAACTAAATAGCTTCGTGGTGTGGACGGGTGCAGAGTTAATTCGATGTAACGGTGCTAAATTCGACATAAACTCCTAGTGTAGACCAGGCCTAAGACTTCATTACCCACTTGCCAGCACACACGTATACAGGAAGACTTACAAGTAAAACAGAGCCATCTACAGTCAATTGTCCTGGTTGATGGGAGCCAACCAGATTCCAAACCACCATTAATGGCCCACACTTTGCATAATTACAATAGGCCCTCAGAGTTATATTTCATATTTCTAGTTTCTGATACAAGAGTGATACATTTATACAAATAGGATGACCACACTCAGTAGATTATTAGCTTTGTAATGATACCTTACAAGAGACCTTTTGCATGAAGCTTATTTTAGTTACATTATGTTCACACTCATCAGCATACTTTCATAAAATCATATAGAGTGCAACGTCACACACTATCTAATTCATGTTCTTATTCTTGTTTGATTCTTTTTTTGCAGACCCTACCAAAAATCCTGGATAAAGTGGCACCTGCATTTGTCATGAGCAGCTGTAGCTTCCTGGTGGAGAAGTCCCGTGAATCGACAGCACGGGTAGTAGTGTGGCGAGAGATTGGTGTGTTGAGGAGCTACACGATGGAGAACACCTACTGTGGCTGCAGCCATGGGCTCTACAAGGTGAGTACCTATGTCTGAGAGCCCATTCTCATCCTCTCTTCTCTTACGGAGCTCACTTAGACTTGCAGTGCAGGGATGAGCAGTTGTGTAATGGTGGGATACTGTTTTACTGCTCAGGAGCCTTTGCCTTCCTGAGCCCTTCAGTGGAATGAACTCTGAAACATTTTGCTATAATTTCTTGCCACTGCTCCTGAGAGTAGAATTGCCTCCAAGTTTGTACTATAATATTCCCATCAGACCTCAGTCTGCTGCCTACAGTGATACAATAGTCATAGTGTATCTCCTATTTTGCAGCCTCATTCAACAGTGAGGGACACCAGGCCTGATTCTTATCATTTACCCTAGTGTAAATCAGGACTTGTTCCATGAAGGCTGTGGAGTTACAGTGGTGTAAAACTACTGTCAGTGAGCCTGGTTCTCCTCTCACACAATAAATGTTTCCTTGGTTTTATGAACAAAGAGGGGTCTCCTTCTAATTTAACTAAACCAAATCTATTCTGTCCGCCAGAAGCTATATTAAGGGCAATCAGGTGTTCCAGAGAGATGTATGCTGCCTCTCCTTATTAAACTTTGCGACCTGATACAAAGCTCCATTTACAGCAGTTGTAAGCCTGCATAACTCCATTCGCGGCATGAGACTGGTATAATGGAGTTCTGAATCAGGCGCTGTGGCGCCAGTGGTTAGCATGATGTGATTGGAATGATTTGACATCTCTGTGCTATGTATTATAATCTTATTGTTGGCAAGGGATTCCTACCAAACCAGTGGGAAATAAAGCCATCATATAAATCATGAGACATTCTCAACTATATTATTAATGACACCCACAGCTACAGGGGGAAATGTATACTCTGCTGCTTGCTCTGTGCTTACACCCTGCAGGTGTCGTCGAAATAAAAGACCCGGAGACAGTGGGCTCTGTCAAGGGCAACTGATGGGCTGATTGTTTTAGTTTACTGTGAGCCTCCCTAACTCAGGGAACACCAACTGTTTTCCCTGCCACAGTCTGTAATGACTCTTTGTACTTGCTGAAGAAACTCTCTGCATCCAAAACAAAACGTGCAACCTTTGAGTTTGTTCCTAGAGTACAGACATCAGCATCCACTATCCAATAGCTGTAAGATGAAAGAGCATTCTGGGTAATATTATGCAAATGAGAACACTGGACTTGTTCTTGACACACATGGAGACATTTTTGTTTAGCACTAGACACACTGTAATGAACTCACCCTGATCATGTCAGGCCCATGCGAATACCCAGGGCTTGGTCTTATAAAGATATTTCCTCTGGGATACCTCAAGAAAACCGCAGCTTGCTGCAGGTCTGGCAGGAAGTGGTGGGGTTGGGTCAGTCAGGGGTGCTCTTCTGTCTGAACCGGTATTGCTCTAATCTCGCAACATGGGGCTCAAAGGAGTGCTATACCAGAGGAAGTAGTGTTACTGATTCAGTAGGGAGACTTTTCTTTCTAAGTCAATACTGACTGTAGTCCCAAACAGCGTGAAGGGGGTACTCATGTTGGAGGTGCTATGTGTTTTGAAGGAGACACACATGCTCTGACTACTTGTGGCTGTTAAAAATCTTGTGGCATTTTTAACAAGACTAAGGTTATTAACCCCAGTAATTATACTCTGCTGATCTGAGCTCTCCGTTCAGTGTCAAATGGTGAATTCTTCCTCTCCCAAAACAAATAGGGAGTGTTGCTAGGGCAGAATGGCTGCCATGTTTCAACCTATTTCTGTCAGAGGGGGTCAGTGCCCCTATATGCAGAGTGTTAATAAAGCAATTAGGGGTCCTAAAGGTCCTTCAAGATAATTACTAATTAATGTATTTATAGTAATACATTGCAAATTACTCTCTGAGCAAAGGATCTCAAGGATTTTGCAAACCTTATACACTAATCACTTTGCCCTCCAGTTAAGTGTAGCCAGGAGGAACTCAGCAGCTGCTTTAACAGTACGTAAGCATATAAAAGTCCAGGGCAGGAAGTGAAGAAATAATTGCAAAGAGAATTTAAGGAAAGAGAATATAATTACCCAGATTGGCCAGAGCAGCACAACTGATACCTCCTTCTCCTGAGAAAAGTGCTAATGGATTTTTAATAAGCACCAGAGAGCAGAATTTTCGTCCTACATTTTATCCAAAAAGACAGTGGGTGGAATCCTGACTCCAGGATGCCAAAACTCCTGTTGATTTCAGTGGGGCCAGGATTTCACCCAAATACCTCTAGCAATGCAGTGTGCCCTAGCACCGTGCTGGGGTATCAGACTCAGGATCATTATCCACTGAATCACTATGCTTACCGGCTATATCACCTAGGTGTTCCTTGACCCAACACTGCTTAGTTTGTGAGGTCCGATATGATCACAACTTGAGGTGGTAGAACAGTAATGTGAAAAGCCCTGTAAAAATGATTTATTCAGGGAATAGCTTCAGTGCATTTCTGTTGTTTTCTCAATGCCTCTTCTCTATTTTGGAGGTCTTAAGGGATACACAGAAATACCCCGTGTTGCAGGACCTGGACTTTCTTTAACCATCCTTTGAAGTATATGAAATGCATCTCTGTTTTTCCCTCTGTTTTTTTCCCCTTATCCTCACGCTCATCACTGAGCAACTGAGCAGAACTGTAGGCAGCCAGCAGGGAAATCGGAGTAATTTTACATGTGGGCGCCTGTTGCAGGAGAGGGAATCAAATCCACGTTTTTTGTGACCCATAAGGAAGTCTATGAGCTATAAAGCAGGATAGAAATTTCCGTTCTGAACATATTGCAAATGATTTCTGTATGTTGGAAAGCTCAGTCCCAGTTGGATCATGAGGTTATTATTCTAAGGTCATCTTTCCATTTTTTGTTTATCATTACCATTTATCCCAAAGACAGAGGACTCTTAAATATGCCCACGGGGGTATTTCTTCCTTCCATCATACGAATATAAATATTTTTGCAGTTTCTCAGGTTAAGGCAGCTTTAAAGTAGTTCCAATCATTTCTCCCCCAGTACTCTAAGTGCCTGATTTGTTAGAATTGAAATGATGTATCATTTCTTACACTGACATTTATTTTGGAGCTGCGTAAAAGATCATAAGCTATTACCTTCAAATAACTGATATCAATAGGAGATTTCCCCTTCTATTTAGGAATCTTTAACTAGGGTACTACTTTTTTTGTTCTTTTGGATTTGGGTTCCTAGGAGAATATTCTCAACATGGTAAGCCAAAGATTTCATTGCATAGTTCCATGTAACACCCAAGTCCCACCCACCAAAGACTCTCTCATTAGAATCTGATACTCCTGAAGCTCTTGGGTATACATCATTTTTATAGGGCCATATTTTTCAAGAGGCTGCAATTGAGATACTGGTTCTGGGGCTGCAGTTGTGGACCCTCCAGCTCCCGTGTGTGAAAATGACACAATTTAGAGAGGTACCTGATTTGCGGGTGTAATCTGTCAGTTAGGCCTGGTCTACACTGGGGGAGGGGGGGTTCGATGTAAGATACGCAACTTCAGTTACGGGAATAGCGTAGCTGAAGTCAACGTATCTTATTTCAACTTACCTCCCGTCCTCACTGCGCGGGATCGACGGCCACAGCTCCCCTGTTGACTCCGCTACCGCCGCTCGCCCTGGTGGAGTTCCGGAGTCGATGGGAGCATGTTCGGGGATCGATATATCGCGTCTAGACGAGATGCGATATATAGATCCCTGATAGATTGATCGCTACCCGCCAATCCGGTGGGTAGTCTGGACATACCCTTAGATATCTGCCTGTGACCTCTGCTCTCAATTAACAGTATCTGCAGTTTTGCACCCACATTTGATTATAATTAGAATCTGTTTTTTAAACCATATGACAGCAACCCCCTACAATTATAGCCATAAACTTACCTAGACAAACAGGCCCTTTGATTTTTTTTTATGCTTTACTTATATAGCTTCTTAATGCACTTTACAAACAGCAACTAAGTCTTCCACCACCCCATTTTACCAAGAGGGAAACTGAGGCTCAGATGACTGAAGACACTTGCCTGTGGCCATATCAGTAAGTTTTTGGCTGCCAGTCTCCCCATCTAACCAATAACCCATGCTTCCTTCCCCGTTGCAAACAATAGGGCAACACATTCTGCTCTCTTTGTTTATGCAACTAGTCCCTTTGCCCACTGTGCCCACTAACTTAGTCTGTGTAGTTACATAGAGAGCTACTAGGGAGCTAATAAAGGATTGGGCAAGAACAAAAAAGCCCTTCTAGATGCCATTAAAAAAAGCTGCCCTAAGCTGCCCGTCAGTGGTAGGTGTGTCCTGTGACATCACTGTGGAGGAGGTCTGAATTAAAATTAAACCCAGTACTTCCTGGTAGTGAGTCCAGCCAGAAAGAGTTTTCAGGGAATGTTGCCTAGCTTGCATTTAAATTTACAACCCCCCATTTTAGAAATGGTTCATTGTGTCAAAAATAAGAAAGGTGTTTGGCACTTGTGATATTCTAATAAGAATCAAGAGTGACCCCAACCTCATTTAAAAGTCATTTGACTTCAAAAGGCTGGGAATAGAAAAGATGGTTTATCTCTGTTGAATCGCTCTGTCTCTGTGATCAATGGAAATGCAATAAGCCAGTCGCCCTTAAGGAAGAGAAACATAAAACCAAAGAAACTATTGATCTTATCTGAGATTTTATTCAACCTAAGGAAGATGAAGAAAAAGCCAAACCCCAACTCATTCTCATTTCATCTAGATTGCCTGATGGAGTCTCATAGGAACAGTGTCTCTATCATAAAGTGTTGCTAAAAAAAGGAGTAATGGATTTCAATGGGGAATTCTCCCTCCCACTCCTACCTCTTTAGAAACCCTATGGTCGAAAGAGAAAAACAATCAGAAAATTGAAGAAGCTCATAAGTTCATTGCCTCTGCGAAGGCTGAGTGTTTGGTGAGCTGGTGGACTAAATCAAACAGTTTTCCAGCCCACCAAATGGGTTTTATTGCAACAACCTCTCAGATATTCAGTTTGTTGAGA